CTGCTGGTGAGGGCGGCAACAAAAGCCACAAGCCTGCAGCCCCACACGTGGTATGCGGCTACCCCTGCCTCCCTCCCCTAGCCGAGTCAGGAGGCAGCGCATCCTCTGAAGCAGGAAGGATCCTGGCTCCAGTTCTTTACCCACTCAAGAGCTGTCATCTGGACAGGTTACCTAACCTTTCAGAGCCTTCAGGAAATATACAGAGAATGGGAATAAAGATAAACCTCCCAGGATTAGAAAGACACAAGGTCATGGAAAGATGTGACCGCTGTGAACCTCTTAGCTGTGTGACCTCGGGCAAGTGGCTTGGCTTCCCTGAACCTCAGCTTATTTATCTGTAAAATGCAGCTAACAGCATGTGCCACACTCCCGACTCCCAGCGCAGCAGTTTTCAGAGGGTTCATACGTGTATCTGCATCACCTAGGGGTCTTGCTGAGAGAGATTGCTGGGCCCCAACCCCAGGGCTTCTGACTCGGGTCTTGGGTGTGTACACAGACAGAATGTGCACTTCCAGTAAGTTCTTTGATGAGGCCCCTGCTGCTAAGTCAGGACTGTACTTTGAGAACCCTAGCTAAGTGCCTGACATAAGCAGGTGCTCAGAGCAGACAAGGTCTACTCCCTATCTATTAGGCTAACCAAGCCCCAAGCCCCTAGCCTAGCCTGGGAGAATGAGAAACTGTATCTCCAGGCCCTCACTCCTCCAGGAAAACCTCAGGCTCTAACCGAGATGGAGCCCAGCAGCATCTCACTAGGTACCCCTTCCCCACTAAGAAAACCAGGGATCTGGCATCCCAGGCCTACCTGGGCTCCCTCCCCTCCCTTAGGATAGCAACAACCCTCAGCCTCCATTCTCCACCACTGGGGTCCCTAAGACTTCCTTTCAGATCAAGGGGCTGCCACCAAGTGCCTCCAGAGCCCCATCCTGAGCTGGCAGGCTGGGGCCTGTCCACTGCATCGTTTCCTTCTGTCTGCCTGATGTGGGGTCTCAGCTCCAGGTCTGAAGCTGTAGAACAGAGGGGGAATGCTGGAGCACACGCAGCTGAAAACAGCCGAGAACGAACCCGGTTCCCATCCTTCCCCACCACTTCTGTGTAGCGTGGGCACATCGGTCCCCGTCACCTCCTTGAGACTCTGTGCCATAACTGGAAGTGGGGCTCTCACGAAGCCTGTGAGCTATTACAATCAACGAACAAGGTACCGGGTAAACCAGGAGCACACGATCAGAACCAGCACACGGGGTGAAGTGCTTCTCCCTAAAACTCCTCAGTCAAGCCGAGTCCCCCGTGTCCCTTCTTCCTTCGGGCAGTGTCCGCAAGGCAGGAAACTGGTACCGCATAAAGCAGCTCGGTGGTCTCCATGTACATACCCCATAGAGGAGCCGGGCCTGAGCCAGGGCATTGCCAAAAGCAAACAGGATCATCTTGGCCCGAAGCTGGTCTGGTTGGAAGCGGTGTGGTCGTAAATTGGCTTTCTCCAAAAAATACAGGGTGTGGGGATGAGGGTAAGGATAACCTTCCCGGAATCCTGCAAGACACACAATCACGTAGATGAGTGGAAAAAGTCTCCTCACCTTGGCGCAGGGGAAGTGCTACCAAGAGGCTCCATATAGGCAGGCATTGGCACTATGGCTCAGGGGCTGGCAAACTTCAGCTGGCAGGCCAAATCCCGCCTACTGCCTGTTTCCATAAACCACTTTCCCTGGAGCACAACTGCGCGCACTCATTTACGCACGTCTATTGGGTAGCTGTGACAGAGACCATACGTGGCCTGTAACATCTCAAATATTTACTATTTGGCTCTGCATAGAAATGTGTGCCAAACTCTTCTAGGTGCTTCTTGCATGCTACTCCTAATGCCACCCCGATCTCTCTCATTCAGGTGCACAGATGACAGTGTTGTTAGCAGAGGACTGATCATTACAAAAGACTGATCATTACAAAAAAAAAAAAAGGGCAAATTATTTGCACAATTCCAAGTTTAATATTAGTGACAAATGGGGACCAGCAGATGGCGTCATGGTTACATCACTGGACTCCCACATAGTCAACTGCAGTTGGAGTTCCAGACCTAGCGACTTAAAACTCATGCCAGGCGCGTGTGGGTGCATGCCCAAAATCTTGAGAGGAGAATAGAGGAGAAGAGACTATGGAGTGGCCATCCCCCATGGGAGGAGATTTCTCGCTTTCTGTCTCTCTCTGTCTCTTTGGAGAGCACACACACCCTATAGCAAAACTGTCTCAAAACAAAAATTAGTGACACGAGACTTGCCTCCTATCTCACAACTGAGCCACATGACACTGACGCTGAGAATCAAAGTTAGTACTTGTCCATCTCAGCCATGCCTGTGAAGTCATGGTTCTCCTGTCTGGCCTGGCTGTGAATAACCTTGATAAGCCAGAAAATGGGTGAGCTGGAGCAGTGTATGTGTGTGAAAGGATGAAGAAAGAGACGGAAAATGCAGGCTCTGAAAAGCTGAGGAGGCACGCCTGCAGGCCTCGGTCCTCAGTCTGCTCAGGTCCACGGCACTCCCTCTGCTGAGCTCCAAGAAGGTGCCAGGAGCAGAGGCCAAGCTCGGTCTGCCAATGCCTATGAGGAGCTCACTATCTCGGGGGCAACAGCCAGGAAAACTGGCCCTGTGGGATGGAGGAAGAGGTGAGGGAGCTGGAGGGGCAGAGGAAAGGTCCCTGATGAGACTGGAAGATCCCAGAGCAGTTCTGGGAGGACATGATACCGAAGATGAATCGTGAAGGTGAAGAGTGAGCAAGCTGAAAACAAGAAGGGATGAATGGCCCAGGGCTCCAAGCAGAGGGAAGAGGAAGTGCCACTGCACGGCAGTGAGAAAGGACACGATGCCCTAAGTACGGCTGGCAGAACAGGGGCAGGTAGAAGGGGAGGCAGAGGTGAGGCTGCAGGGACGGGCAGAGGCCATGAAGGCCCTTTGGCATTCCAGCTTTTCACCCCACAGTCAACAGGGAGGTAGGTGGGCATGGAGACAGGTGGGCTGACACTGATGTTTTACAAGGGCTCCTCTGGAATTACGAACTAGACGGACTGGAGAGAAAATGGCCAGGGTCGGAATGCCCAGTGGGAGGCTGTGGCAGCAGGCTAGGTAAGGACATAAGGAAGGAACCAGGCTGAGGCTGAGCAGGAAGGCACAGCAGGACCAAGTGGGTGGCAGGAACTGGGGGCCAGACCTGTCTGACTTCCTAGTCTCTGTCCTGGCTGTGACTGAGCGTATGGTGCGCCTTAACCAAGTTTGGATTAATAGCCCCAATCAGTGCCCATGAGTCCTCAGAGGTGGGGGGCCAGAGTTTTCAGGGTGAACAGAGAGAGGGGCACTTTCTAAGGGACCTATGAATAAAGGAAAAGACTTGTCAAAAGTCACCTACTGGGGCGCGGCCAGGCCTGCGGCTCTGCTCCGTGTTCCGTTGCCTCTCTGGGGCTGGCATGTGGCCTCTGGGCCGGCGTGTGGCCTCTAGGCCTGCGCGTGGCCGCCAGGCCTGCGCCTACACATGGCTTGTGGGCCCCCGGGCCTGTGTGTGGCCCCCGGGCCTGCTCGTGGCCGCCGGTCCTGCTCGTGGCCGCTGGGCCT